TCTTGGCATTTTAACTGTGAGAATCTGTTAATATTGGGATCAATCACTAAGAGGTCCCTTCCTCTTGAGAAAGAAAGATATACAGTGATCGTTTATTACTGTTGTTTGGAGACATAAGATCAATGATTTCCAAAGGATACTTCAAGGGGAGAGGCTAGAACCAAATGCTTCCCTTGTGTAAAGGTGCTTAATTTGTTTCATCTTTATTTGTATATTATACTATTAGAATCATGCTTAACTATTAGAATCATGCTTAACCGCTGATAAATTAAATAAATAGTATTTTTTACTTCCTGGGAGAGAATCTGATATTTCCTTGCTTCCAACGTAAGTCATTAAAGCCACGTTTTAGTTCTTTGGAAAGTTATCGCCTGGCTTATCTTCAAGGAACACTTCTTATGTGACATCTTAACAGCTAAGAACTGACCATATACACAGTGTTCTTGCATTAATAAACATATGGTTGTTTTGTACATGTTCTTTTTTGACTAGGTATAATAATAAAGTAAATGGTGGAGTAGAACGTAGCTTTGAGTCCCAGGGTCAGCAAAGAGCTGATCCCAAGGGAAAGCTTTTGAGTCTCTACAGTTTGCAGGTTGGAAAAGAGTGATGCATAGAATCACATGACTGTGTATGTACCATGCCACAAAACTGTACTTGATTTAATTTAGGCTATACTGCCTGTCTTTTGCTGCTAGTAGAAGAGAAACCACAATCTTCCAAGACAAATTCTTCTCTTATCAATTTTAGTTTTCAAAAACTAAAGTGTCTCTGAATTCGGAGTTTTCATCTTTCTGTTGTTCTTTTTCCCTTTGTCTCTTACATCTGACTTTTGATGGTGGTGGAATAGATTTATGTTACTAAATCCAATGTATTTACGAGTGCATCAGAGAGCTTGATTTTTGGGCAAGCTGATAATGCTGGGTGGTTTGTAGGTGTTCCATGCTTAAACAAGAAAATGGATCTCACAATTGCTGGTTCTGCTTACATCCGTCTCTCTTTTTCATCATTTGAGGATTAATTAAACAGGCTAGTCTGTGAAACAGGAGAAGAAACTTCATCCTAAGCTCAGAAATTGAAGTCACTAAACGAAACTCTGGAGCAGTCACTTGGTATGGATGGGTGCTGTCATTGCTTCCTCTCTTGTCTTTCAGGGACCATAGCTCCCTGTTCTGTTGGTGGACTTCCCAAAATGATGCGCTTGAATTCTGAGATCACAGCCATTGCTCTAATTCCTAGGGAAGTGCCCTAATGGCAAAACTATAGGTTATTTTGGGGGCTACACTACTGCCTGTCCTGCTCCAGAGCTGGATAGTTTTCAAGAATGCGTTGAGTTATAGGGCCAGAAGAATGGTATGCAGGAGGGAGCCTGACTTAGTAGATATTTTATGTTACACAGTAATTGGATACAAACAAGAAATAAAGCTGAAGGCAGACACAGCAGTCGTGGGTCTTCCCCTCCTAGCTGCGTGCCCTGACCTCTTTGGATTACAGAGCTGGGTCTTGGCATTCCTGCTTCCTTGGCCAAGGATTTTGTAGACTCCTATGTACCTTACAGCTCTGCTTCAGCATGACAGGTTTCAGGAGCCTGTGAACTCATGTTTTATGCTGATTTCCTTATCTAAAAGAGATAAAAGCTTAACATGTGAAATGCTAATGCAGCTAGGCCCTGTTTCATGTCTAGTATAAGATTAAGTTATTTTCTGCACCAGCTCACAGACCGAAAAAAGGAAGTGGTGGGGGGAGGGTAACAGAGGCCTTGCAGCAGCTGGCAGAAACTCCTGAAGGAGTTGAAAACCATCACACAGCAGCTTCCATCAGCTCTGACGTGAGAAGCCCCTCAGTGCTGCGGGAATGATGACCCAGGCTGGCATTTGCACACGTGTTAGCAGCTTTCAACTCTTAAGACCACCTGCTATATAATTCCTTGATATTGAGGAAGGACATAACTGCTCTGTTCTTGCCAGAAACCAGAATGCTTCTGTTTCTTCTCTTTTTGTTCTGTTTGTGGACAGGCAGCGTTCAGCATGCTGCCTTGCATTTGGGCTGAGTGTGCCAGAATGTTCTGTTTCTCTGAGAACAGTGAAGTTTCTTTTTTCTTTGCTTGTGATTACTTAAAACATATGTAGTCCATGGTGTGTTCCTGGCATCAGGTGACCTTGTTTGCACCCTTACTGGCTTGAATAGGGGTTTGTGTGCCAGGGTTTAGGAAGGAGTGATTTGTTGGTTAGTAAGGGGCAGCCCTGCGATTAGAAATTCCATGATCTGAGAGGATGCACGTTTGACTAGCTGGTGTAAACCAGAGTAATGTGCTCTCTGTACATATCAGAAAGTTCAAATTTGGTAGAAATCAATGACAGAAATAGGCGTTGTGTTCCTGAGTGCCTGTAGAAGTACTTGCTAATGTGTACTGCAGAGTTTGGTTTATAATTGTACAATAGTGGCTTTGATTAATAATGCTTTATTAGTTATAAACATAGACTTAGTGAATAAATCCTATTTATTCTGTTGAATTGCTTCCCATGCCTACATAAAACTATTTGAGAAATTATAAAGCTACTATAATATTTTTCCACATTATAAATTTCAAGTTCCTACTTCTGTCAGCATTATAGAATTCCTGTGTAGGATTTCTGCTCAAGCCCATCCTTGACATGCAAAGGAAGTTGTCTTTTAACTTGCATTTGGTAATGGAAAATTGTGGGTGTGGTAAGACAGAGTTTTGCTAGGAAAGGGGTGTGGGAAAGTGTGCATCTCTTTTTGACATGTCTCTGGATTTTTACCTTTCTCTTCCATGTCAGGGTAAGATAAATGAAACTGGAGAGGTATATCCCTGCTGAAAAGGACTGGACTCCTTCCCTGAAGGACAGTAGAGCTGGAGCATTTACTTTGTGTCCCTGCATATAGAAAAGAAGTAGAAGAGATTGTCTGAGGAATGCTGGCATAAGGCATCCTGGCATGTCTTTTTCTAGAGAATGTCGGCTCATAACTCCTGTTTTATTCCCTCCCTTTTCTGTCTAAAGCACAAAACAGTGGGCACACATTTTTTTATCTACTACTGAAAAGCAGCCATCAGTGTAGAATAACATGAGAACAGTTTGGGAGGAAACATGGAACACTGCATTCAAGTGAAACTAATTACCCGATTAGAGTTTGGCCTGGCTGCGGTGGTTGACATCCAGGGCTCTTGGCGACAGTACCTGTGATGAAATCCAAGTCTAGTCTTGATTCATTTGAAGGATCTGGGCAAACCTTCTGGACTTGCGTGCTGAATGCTAAGCAGTGCAAAAATAGGCCACTGATTTAAAGAACCCATGGCTACCATGGATGTCAGTGGTCACTTGGCATACTTACAGATGAATTTGCTCATTTGGGTTTTAGGAACTCTGGTTTCCATTTCAAGCATGCAGTCTGGTGATATTTGATGTTTGCATCAGAGCATCTTCCACTCACAGCTCTAGGATAAGCACTTTCCTTCAGCACTTCCAACTTCTCCCCTTAAAATTTAGTCAAAGTCTGACCTTGAGATCTTATAAACTTATAAAATTATCTATAACATATTCCACTTAATCTGGTACTTTTCCTTCTCTTTATCTATCCAGAGCTTAAATACGTTAACTCTGCCTTGTTGATGTCTTGAATCTTCACCACAAACACATTTTTGATCTGTTGGTGTCTTTATTTGGAAAATGGTGTGTTTTTATCTTAGAACTACCTAATGCAAAATCTCAAATGTCTGCACTGCAGTGTTAGATATATCTATATTTATTGGTGTGATAGTATTTGCTTTCTTGGCATCATTCTAAAGGAGAAAAAAAAACCACTACTCGAAAGGACTTGAAACTATACTGGGAAAAGAGGGATGACTCTTTCATCTGCATACTGTTGCATAAATACTGTCTTTTCAGAACAAAGATAAGCAGAGCACTTTTAGAAAGAATTGAAGTGTCCCTAACCTCTGAACGTAAAGCTTCTGGGCTGCACTCACTTCTGGCACCCTAGAAATACTCTGCTCTCCCTTTCCTGGGACAACAAAATTAAATAAACAGTCAAATGAGTTGTGAACATTGGCTTGATGAGGAAATTCAGTACTTTTGCTCTGATGTCATACATGCACATTTAGACACATTACTAAACTGAATCAACAAGTTGTTGATGAAAATCCAGGAGCTGCTAAGATATGCTCCACAGAACAAGAAATTCTAATAGACAACTATTGGAAAAAATACTTTTGCCAATTGGCTGCTTGTTTTAGCTTAGCAACTGGCTTATGCTCTAGCCTATTCCTTAACATCTAAAGTAAGTACTGAACTCTCTCATGTTTACAAACCTTCTTAAGCTATTTGCCTAGGAAACCTTGCAGTAATGAAGTCCCCTGTGTTGTATTTAAGCGTTTCCTCCTGTTGGAAGAATAAATCTATCAAGTTTTCGGCCTCCCACAAACACAGTGTATGAAGGGCTGTACGTGCTGTAAGCCCTGAGAAACACCAGAAGCAATTCAAAATGATAAAAATATACTTTTGGACACCTCTCACTCCTCTGCCTGGAACTAGGCTAGGTTGGGACTTTAGATCTGAAGAGGCAAATGGGAGTTTACCTTGTGTAGTGTACTATTCCCTTCCCTCTCACCAGTCTCCACAGATGAGCAGTCACTGAGTTGGCAGAAGTCTGCTGAGCCTTTCCTAGCCAGGAATTTGCCCAGCTGTTTGGCCCAGGATTTCACAGAAAAGAAGGAAACCTTTCTGGCTGAAGTTTCTGCAAAGACGGTGGTTCAGTGATCAAAGCATTAGTTTTCCTACAGGGGAAAGAGGAGAGGGGCATTTCAACAGGGCCCTGACCCCTTTGTGATAAATGCTCACCCTAGAATATACCTAATCTCTTAGGTGGTGGGATTACAAAGGCACGAAGGTCTCCATTTCTTCTAAAAGCATGTGTTAGGTTCAGAACTTTGTGGTTTGAAAACGCGTCTCTTCTAACAGCTTCTTGTATTGCCATTGCAGGATGATTTGGAAATTTGCCGTGTCCATCTTTTTGATGGCAGCATTGGCTAGAGTAGCAGACAGCAGGAAGAACCGCCCGGCGGGGGCGATCCCATCCCCCTACAAGGACAGCAGCAGCAACAACTCAGAGCGGAGGCAGCAGCTGAACAAGGAGGTGCTGGCCTCCAGCCAGGAGGCCCTTGTGGTCACTGAACGGAAGTACCTCAAGAGCGACTGGTGCAAGACGCAGCCCTTGCGACAGACTGTCAGTGAGGAGGGCTGCATAAGCCGCACCATCATCAACCGCTTCTGCTATGGGCAGTGCAACTCCTTCTACATACCGCGGCATGTGAAGAAGGAGGAGGAGTCCTTCCAGTCCTGTGCTTTCTGCAAGCCACACAAGGTGACCTCCTCAACTGTGCAGCTGGAATGCCCCGAGCTGGACCCACCATTCCGACTCAAGAAAATTCAGAAGGTGAAGCAGTGCCGGTGCATGTCTGTGAATCTGAACAACTCAGGCAAGATGTAAGAACAGCTGTGTGGCTGCTGCTTGCTGTTTTCCTGTTGTCCACATCAGACATCCCGCTGCATCTCCTCTCCATTGGGCAGACTGCCTGTTTTCTTCTTGTTTTTTTTCTTTTTTCCCTGTTTATTTTTTATTTCGGGAGATATCTCTCCAGAAAGGAAAGGCTCATTGTCATGTGCCTACTGGAATAAAGCTGTTTAATGGGCTATGTTATGCACTTGACCATCAGGTTCATTTTATGTCTGGTATCATCTGACAGTTGAATCTTACAGGGTGGAGCAGGCTCCTGAAGTTGAGACTGTGCATCTAAGTGACCAGTTGGCTGAATGCAACGTTAAATGTTTCCACTGTGTGGAGTAAAGCCATCTCCCTACACTCCAGTCCCCTCCACCAGATGAGATGCCTTCCCATTAAGCTGTTCCGGAGCTTGCTGCTGTCACCACGGTAGGCTGGGTTCTGCCCAAATCTGGGTGAGGCAGACCAGGGAGAGCTACAAAGAGTAACATACAAAAAGAGACTCTCTGACAAGGCTCGGCTTCTTGAGACACCTCTTACTGTGCAATTGACAAACTGTTCCAAACCTGTGGTCTGAACTGCAGATAAGAGCTGAAGGGGAGAGGGCGAAACGTCAGATCAGCCGCCGTGATCACATCAGCAGCCTGAAGGAGGATTCTTAAGCTGTTGTGGCTGGAATATACTGAACATGTGGTCTCTGCAGCAGTGTTTGTTTTGTAACTTAGCTATAGTAAACAGCTGCTTAAAGTATTATAGACCTAGCCATGTATATTTTTCTTGTGACAGAATATGTCGGAGATTAAAATGTGGTAAGAGACTTGGTTGCTAGGTCAGCTGCCTGGCTTAAAATGGATGCATTTTAACTGGGCTTTCGGTACGTTAATGTGTTAGATCTGCGCCTGTTTCTTACTCCAAAAAGGACAACATCCATTTATTACCTTATATTTATGCCTGCTCAGACTGGAGAACGTGGAAGGTAATTGGAGAGGAGCTGAGAACACTAGTGGTGTTTTTCACTTAAGGTATAAAAGCACTGTCGCACAAAGAACAAAATTTGGTCATTGCTGGACCGAATGCAAAAGCTGCCTTATTGTTCAGTGTCATCAGGTGCTGGGAGTGACATCTCTCCCATGATTGGAAACCAGGAAGAAGTGTTGATGTTAAAGGATAAACCCATCAGTCAGTGCTGTGGGATTAGGTCACAGTTGTATGGTAGGGAGAGAGAGTCAGTGCTAATCACTGTGACACTGGTGGCCCACTCAGTGTTTGGGTTCTACATAATCCATGGTGGTGAACACTTTGCAGTTAATTTTGATCATACTGTGTTGTTATTCACTTGGTGGAGTTTAGCATGTCCTGTGTATCCTGTTTGTTCCAGTTCTGATCTGTATTAGTACCAGCTGCATTAAGATCATAAGATGTCTAAAAACAAATCAGCCCCGTCCCTCAAACTGTAGCCCATGCATGCTCAATCATCTGAAGCTTACTAATTAACAGTGACAAGTTGACTCCCCAATGCATGTCTTAGGGTTCAGGATCTGCATCTGCTGATAAGAGCTTGCTGTGGGAACCCTTTCCTTCCAGATTCCTTACGTGCAGCCCCTTCAAGGGGTTAATGTGTTTAGGACTCTGGCCAACCAAGAGTTCAGTGCCATATTATGTGAGACAGGCTGCTCTAAGAGGCTTTTGGGACTGAGCTCCACAAGAGCTCACCAAGCGGTTTATGGGGATTGGCACGGGCAGGATGAGGTTGGTCAGGTGTGTTAGCCCTATTAAGTGAACAGTTATGTGTTTTCTTCTGTGATCTTTCAGAAATGCAGAGGGAGACCCCTCACAGTTGTTTTTTCAGAAGCTGGCATTACTATACTAACAGCATCATGCCAACCCCTGAATGGATAGTGTTCATTCCAGGCCTGATAGTGTCAGTGTGGGTGTGGGGCAAAGTGGAGAAAACTAATCTGTTATGACTCCAGTGATCTCAGTCTCCCCTTGAAAGAAACAAACTGAAAGTCAGTCATTTTGGAATGAGAGAGAGAAAAGCACTGTGGTAACTTCAGTTAGGAATGATGTGCAAGAATCTTTAAGCTATGCCCTGCCTGGGGTTTTCATCAGTTTGCAATATGACTATGCTGCAGCTTAAAGTTCCTTCTAGGAGCTATGTTTGTGTAAAAACTGAGTTGAGCTTGTAATGGTTAAAACTGTATTTAATTCTTGTTTTATAAATGAAAACAAAAAATGAAGAAATACTTTAAGTATAATGTAATTATTTTATAGGTCTACTATTAAATTATAGATTAAATAATAAAGCTACTCTAGGGTTATATGGCATCCATATGTACAGGCTTTGCTTCAACACCTTGTGTCCAGCTGCTTTTTAATCAGTCTGTTTTCCAGTTTCCTTCTGACCATATGAGACACAAGTAAATGGATTGCCCTGACAGCTTGGGGAAGCCTAGCTACTTTACCCCTACACACTTGTCTATTAATCCCCTATACTACCACTGGCTTTTTTGGTTAATGACAAGAAGGCAACCAAAGTTCCACCACTAGCTGAACTGCTGGCATTTACATTCAGAGAAGAAGCTATCATCTGTTCTGCTCAAAATGTAGGCAAATCCTTACATAATAGTCACCAATCTACACACAGAAATAAATATGTCTCTTAAGATGTAGGTGAGTTTGAACCCTGGCTATCAGCTCTTGAATGAGTACAGTGTATGCACGCCAAAGTGTAGAGTAGTATCTTTGATGCTGTTTTCCAACCCAAAGAAAAGATTGTTGCAAAAAACAACAACAACAAAAAACACCAAAAAAACCAAAATCAAACATGAAGGAAAGCTTTAGCTAGGAAAGGGATTTCTTACAGTGAGAGGTGAGCCTCCATCAGAAGGGGTATCTGTCATGAATATTGAGAGAAACAGGAGTGCATAGACTACAATTAGCAAGGGGGAGCTACCTTCATTATGGCACTGTAACTAACATAAGTAAGAGCCCACTCTCCTCATTTCCCAAACTCTTGACCAAATTCTCTCACAGTTCAGCAAAGATACATATATTTTTTAAGTAACCAGTTGTTTTCTCTGTTGTTATTTTCTTTTTTTGTTGTTTTGAGAATTCTACTGTGCTTTCACTAAGTATGGTCAGAGCTCTCTGCTCAGATGTGAAAATCATAGAGTCACCCCATTTGGAACGGATTCCTAAAGACCACTGAGCCCAACTTTTGATGAGGCAGATGCCCCATCTTGCAAACGCCTTAGTCATTTGGTTTAAAATGAGCTCAGGCAGCCACATCCTCCAGCAGCCCACTCTCATTTTTGCCCCTCTCTTGGCCAGTGTTTTTACTTAGCTTGTAGCTTCACTGCCCAGCACCCAGCTGAACTTCTGTCTGTGTTCCAGCTTGGTTGGCTCTCTCAGCCTCTTCCTGCCTTGCTGCTGAAGCATACTAGAAGTTTATGTGGTAATCCAATGAACTCCCTCTTGTGAAAACAACCCAGAAGCAGGTGAGTCACCCTGGATAGATGGAAGAGGCAGTCAGTCAGACGGATCCAATCTCTCTTAAATGCAACTGGTGTTGTGGGACAGGGAAAAGGAGGGGAACAGCAAATGTTAAGCTCTGTTGTGGAACTGCTGACTTGGCAAGTCCCCGGTCTGTGATGAGTGACACATGAAGATTCTTGATTTCTAAGAGCTGCAGCTGAAAAAAAAAAAACAAAAAACAAAAAAACAACAAAACAAAGCAACAACAACAAAACCAATTTAGATTCAACAGTCTTTTTATCCTCAGAAAGACACCATACTCTTGAGACAATGAGCTTACCCTTAGATGCCTTTACAAGTAGGTTGGATGAATGTTTATTAGATAAAGACAGATCTGCCATCATCAAGGGAATAGCCTGTAAAATCCATTCTGTAGTGTGAATCCTTTTTTACTGATGGGTACTGACCTGAAGGATGTTGGGCATTGCTTTGTCTTTTTCCTTTTCTTATCATTTCATATTGTCTTCAGAAGAATTCAGCTCTGTCAGTTTTCACTTACTCTGTCCACAGCAGTTCAAAATTGGTGTAAGTTATGTAACTGATATAAGGGAGTTGGCATAAACAGAGCCCTACTTATTAGCCTAGAGTATGTACCAAATAATAGCAATGCAAAGACTTGCTATATCTTCTCTTGATGAAATTAATAGCTGCTTTCAACTTTTAAGCTGATTACTTAAAAAAAAATCAGACAAGAAAAGATGACAACCTATGGAAGATGTGACTACTCACGTTCCCAGTGCCACTGTTGGTTAATACTTAACTGACTTTTGGAAGTTCTTTACAAAGATGAAAGTTGCTACAGGAAAGCCAAACACTGCTGCGTCATAACAACTGTGACTAAGTACTGTCCTTCTGAAAGGTTTAATTCGCAAAGCAGAGCAACACAAATCTTAGGTCATCTTGAAAGGAGGATCTTCTCATACTCAGAAAGTTACATCTGCTGCTTAGGTATACAAGTCCTTATTGAGCTGCTGCAGTTTAAGCAACTATGAATGATTTATATGATGACAACAAAGGCTCAGCAAGTGTAGCATGTTAGATACTCAAGTAAATGGGGAGAGAGACCTAAAGGGCCTTTCCAGTTTCTAAAAGCAAACAAAATAACGTTTTGAATTCTGACAAAGTTCTGTGTGCCACTGAAAAAAGTAATGGTGACTTACATTGGGATTCCACTCATGCTGTGGGTCAGGCTGGATGGTGCTCTGAGCAACCAGATGTAGCTGTAGGTGTCTCTGTTCATTCCAGGGGAGTTGAACTAGATGGCCTACAGAAGTGACTTCCAAGTCAAATGAGTATATGATTACAATATACACTGTAAAAGGTATAACACGCAAATAATATTTTTGAACACATTTTTGCAATAATAGCAATTTAGTAGGCATGTGACACAGGCAGCACTAATAAGAACAGGTTACAGGTGTGCTTCAAGTAGGAACAGTTAGATTCCTCACAGGTATTAGATCAGCTCCACAGTAGTAAAGAGATGTATTTGAACCAGCTAAGCCTAATGCACTACTGGAGGCATGCACAAGCATGGTGAGTGTATTCCCACTTGGGAAGAGGTATTATATCCACATAAGGACGAGTTACTGGTACTGTAATTGTAATGTAAATTGTAATGTAACTGTAATTGTAATGTAAATGGGGCATCCAAAAGCCCCTTTTCCACTGATCCCTTCACATTAGTTTCTTGATGAGAAGTGGCACTTAGTGCATGGTTGCTAAAACTACAGCACAGCATGAGAGTGAAGAGAGAAGGCAACTATTTTGTTGTTATTCCTTTTATTTTCATATAAATTAACATTCTAAAAAAAATTGAAATAGAAACACTAAATACAGTATTGCACATAGTGATCTTTGTTAGATGATTATTATTTCATTTAGTATAATTACATACTGTAGGTACTGAAGGGAACAGGAAGGCTACAAATGAAAACATGCTACTGTATTCTTGCACTTAGGAGCAAAGTTAAGAGGAAAAGACTACTGTTTACATAAATACAAACATGGATTTGAATCAGTGCCATTAAAATAGCTTTATTTTTTAAAGTTTTTTTTTTCCATAAGTTAGTTGTAACAACAAATAATCTCTTCTCACTCCCCCAAATAGTAATGTTACTCCTGTCAACACAAAGTTTTAGAACTCCATTTTCAGTAATTTATACCCCTGACAGAAATTATTACGACTACAGAATTTCAAATATGTTTTTCAGCAACAGGAGACTTACTTTTCACATAGTGAAAAAAAAACCATCTTTTCTAGTGCTTGGTATAAGTGAAGAATAACAGATTCCTGAGGTCATATTTCACACTTCTTTTATGACACTTGTATAGTATAGTAGCTTCTAGACAGGTAGGAATGTCTGATGATGTGCTAGATTAGACAGGGAATAACACACCCCCGCAGGTTAGACTTCATTTGCTTTTTACTCCAGTGTCTTTCAGGCAGCAGGGCTGAATGAAGCATGTGCCTCCAACTCAGTATTAAACTCTGGTTGCTTTCAGGAAAAGCGAGCCTTGAAAGCAGAACGTTATCAATCAGGCAGATTGTTTTGGTGCTATTTAATCATGACTGGAGGAAAGAGTTGTTATTGGTTGAACAGATCAAGGCTGATATAATCAATTCTAGATTGCAAACAGAAATAAAGCATGTGTCATAGATTTCAATCATTAATCTAGCAAGGGACACAGAAAGCCTGGAGGAAAACCCTGCAACTATGCTAAGTGTGAAATTAATGTCAATTAGTTGGTAGTCTGTGTCTGTCACTAGAATTGGCTACTGTTTTTCATAAATGTCAGTCCCCATGTGCATATTTAACGGCTCTCTAAAGGAGTTTTAAAGTAACTGTGAAGCTAATTCCAAAAGAGAAGTCACGTACACGTGGCCAAAAGCCTGTGTAACTTTTATCAGCAGTTAAATCTATACTATGCTTTCTAAAGTTCATGTAAAATTATTAGCTGCTCTATATGTTAACAAACTATAACAGCCAAATCTCTCTCATATTCTCTCTATAGTACTTCTGTGCTTTTCTGTATTGTCTTGCTCCCTGCCTCCCCCCCCCCCCCCTTTTTTTTTTTAATGCTGGATTTCTGACCCCCATTACCACCTGGCATTCACTATCTGGCACAAGATGAAGTAAAAGTCGTAAAAGTATGTTGCCTTATCGATTTTAAACATAGTTACAGTAAACATCTTGTTCCACAAATATTTAGCCATAGAGGGCAACCAAACAAGTTGGGAAAGCATTGATTATACTGTATAAGCAGCACTTAACGATTCAAAATACAAACTACATATGCCAACATGAAACAGATACAAACAATTCACTAGGAGTAACATTTCTTTCCCTAATCTAAGCGCACTGTCATGAAGTATCTGCTTTAGACAGATGTTGCCAGTAGGAATGGAAATGTTTTACTTTATCAAGTAGTATTCTTATGAAGTTCAACTTAATGCAATTTTCAGCATGTTCAGAACTGATGCAGATACTGTTTTTATGCATGCTGACTTGGCCTATTTGTAGCATACCATACACTTTATAAAATATCATCTTTGAGTGGTAAAGGAGATACTGAATACAGGGAAGGTGTTTCAAGTCAATATCTAGTCTATTGCTGGGCACTCCATTAAAGTGTTTACACTCATTCATGAATGTACATTAACACATCAATTGGTGGAAAACGCCAGAGAACAAAAAGCAAATTCAAAGGGTCCAGAAAGCAAATGATCAGGATGATGTAGTTTCCTTCCCCCTCACACCCCACCCACAGACATGTTGAGTTTTGGTAACCATGTAACAATGGCTTTTGTTTTTC